ACTAACGAGTGAAATTTCTTGCCTTGTAAAATTCTCAAGGGAATTTTAACGCTACTATACCACTAGCATAATATAACTTAAGGTCTACCTCGGCTGGGGCTCAAAGAAACTGGCAGATGCGGTCAGAGGTATTGATATTTGGATGAGGAAATCAGCAACACTGCTAGCTCCAACCGCAGGTCAGAGTGTGCAAACTACTCGTAATTGAAACAGATAACATCCGGATTGGGTTGAATAATACTGAAATTGGGATTTCTCAGTTTTTGAAAGTCTCGGGATCACTCATGTGGCAACCACTTAAGTTTTACCGTATTTTACGCTCAAATATCTGTCCAAAGTATTTATTTGTCACTGTCCAGTAACTTTATCATGGAGCCTCGGCTCCCAGATGGATGAAGTCGGTTTTAGCAGAGTGTCAGAATTGACAACCCACAGTACATGAAATGCGTCTACCTCTCCGCCTGCTAAATTATAGGAGTCTCAGGCTCGCGGCGGGCTGGAGTGTGTTTTCTGATATACGTCACAAATCTCTTATGACAAACAATAGCTTTGCTCAAGCGGCATTTGAGGTGAACCAAGTCTCCACACCTTAAACATAACTATGTTATTACGTTATTTGCTCATTACCATGAAATGGATGGTAAGTTTTGAACCAGGTACGCCATATTACCTGTTTCTATAAGCCTTAACTTGAATTGTTACGTTTAGTTGACACATACACTGCGTACAACTTGTGTAGTGGTGTACAACCTATCGTTTACTATTGCAGAGCGTTAGTAGTATGTTGTTGCAACTAGCTTTGAACATCTACGATATGTATTCTAAATATTTACTTCGACGAGGACGGAACATAATTACATGATCAAACGAACTTACTTGTAAGTGATGTTCGATCTTAATTATGTGAAGTTTTCGTCGAAGTAAATAGCTCCCTCTCTCCCTATGTATCAAGCAATTGTTGCAACAACTTGCTTTGAAGTAAATGAAGGTTTATAGGTGGCCAGAGGGGAGAAAGGTAGGGGGAAGCGGCGCGGTGCCGCTTTCCTTCTCTGCGTGCGCCCTTTGAAATTGTGGCGGTTGGATCCTACTACGAGGGTACTAAGATATGTATTCTGAATATTTACTTCGACGAATATTTCACATGATTAAGATCGAACGTCAGTTACAGGTAAGTTCGTTTGATCATGTAATTATTGTCCCATTTTAAGAAAATATTAAATTCTCAACTGAGAAGCCGAGGGATGGTCACTACCGTTTTGGCATAACTTGTAAAAACTAGTTTAGATATTTGAAGGATTCGTTTTGTACGGATATTCGTTGATTTTTGATAGATACCTATTCCAAAATTGCAGTTTCACTTCCACACCCTGTAGAATTCACGAACATACTATTTCCTTGATCGAAATATGTATTTTTTGAATTAACTTATTCTCTCTCATCTTAAGGTCTAATGTATTTTTAAACTTCATAAGCATTATTGATGGCAATGATAATGAGAGATTTAGAGAAAAAATAGTGAAAGCACAGATGATTTAGATGGAATCGCATCGGATGACATACATTTAATCGATTTCAGATTTTATAACTTCAACATCCTGTATCTCAGTAAAGTAAGAATTGAACGAACATCTCACATTAGAATCTTCTAAAGAATCACCTATTGAAGTTTGGCCACATACTTTATTATCGCTCTGAATGCTAAAATATTACCACTGGAAGTCAACAACTTTCCCAGTCGATGTCAGTAGAGTTCACCATGTATGGTTGAATATGGTAATCGTCAGGACTTTAATCACTTAGTAGTGTTAATAAACAAAGTTTACATATAGTGAAAATTATACATATATACACGTAAAAAAACTAAAAGCCGTAAAAAACTGACAAAATGACAACTTGTTGCATAGATAGTTCCTAGAGTGCAAATAGTCCGCGTTTGCTCGCCATAGCACCGTGAGCGTCCATCTCTGGAAGAATGACTCAACGACAGGAAACGCTCCAGGACCATCCTGCAAGCCCCAAGACAGTTCTCCATAATGCTCTGTTGGTTGCAGAATGCCGCCGTCAGTACCGCACCCGCGTTGCGTGCAATTAAGCCACATCACAGAAAAACTAGGAACGACGCATCACATACAAAACATCTTCGCCCTGCCTCACATCTAGACGTATTAGTTTGTATTTTCTACTTGACATCGTAAGCTAAATTTCTATAAAATTTAAATGATTGGAAATAAAAATTAATGTGAAATGTATTAGCTTTTTTAAATTTCATAAATATTAATGTAGTTTTAATATACGTCACCAACCAGGGATTTTATTTTCTTAAATTTGCGGATACGCAACTAATTTTTAGCTTTGCATACATCTCAAGTAAGTGTATTCGAGACAAGAAACCAATAGAATTACCTGCAGCACAGTTTGTTAGCTCACAAATCCTCATTATGCACCTATGCAGTTATGCACTGCTGTTTCCTTCCAGCTCTAGTATACAACTTAGATGTTACATCACATCAGAGCCAAACACTGATAGCTGAACCATCATGACAATAATGCAACACAGCTACGGAACGAGTACACAACAAGCGTACAACAGCTAAGTTGACATCTTGTAGAAAAACCTGCATAATGTCAAAAAACCGACATAATGTCACTTTTTTCAAGATACGTAACACCCCTGCCGTACTTGAATACACCATTATAATTTTTTAAGTAGAATTGATTACTTTGAACTCTTCGAATCTAGCTAGGGAATTAACAACCCCGTATAATCGCTTGCCAGCAGACAGGCTATTAAGGGATAATGTGGAGTAAAATAATGACCGCGTATAGCTGTAATTTGTACTTGGAAGAGGAAATGGCGATTATTGCATTTACAATACTACATTGTTCGCAAACACAATGCTCCACTCAAATCTATGGTAATCACTGAAATTTCCTACTACCCTATTTATGTAACAAATCATCGATATATGTAGATATAGGTGTATTACATACCATTATTTTGGAATTTGGAGTTAACACACGGTAAATGTTAAAAGAAAGAATAGTATCCAGTAGAGCAACTTGGAACTTGTCACGCGTTCATAATGTCGAATTTTTTACTCGCCCATGCGTAACAACGTGGAAAAACGGGTCGTTTCATGATTTTAGAGCCCCTGAAGTAATTGTTAGCTTTGCTAATCGAACGGAACCTTGATAAGTAGCGAAGATGCTGACCTCTCTAGCTACTTTTTACTACTCCCAAAAAACACGACAAAATTATAAAACATTTTTTTTTTGTTTTTTGCTCATAGATTGGGCGTCAGTTAACCGATGTTACAAATGAACTAATCTGCTACGACCCACTTCATATCTTTTTCCAAAGAATCAGTCCACATGGGATTTTTTCGGCACTGAAAATAACTCAAATTCTTCGATCGCATCTATGAAATTTTGGCATTTAAATATTTCAAATGTTCATTAGCATTTTATCAATTTTATGTTCTTTAAATTCTCAATGAGTACCTTGGTGTGTTTTATTATAAATTTGAAGTATAAAAACATTGGTGCATATCTATCTGAGGTTACGTTATTAGGAGAACGTCAATAGACACATACCCCGACAGATAGATCGACGAAAATGAGTGACGTAGATTGTAAAGTAGGTAGACGTTATGAAACAACTAAAAGAGGAACATTCCGAATATCCGTAACACCAAAGTCCATTGCAAACACATGTCTATGGATATTTTATCCCAAATGTTATGAATAATCATACGCTGAAATATTATCACGTCTTTAGGAACATCCTATATTTTGTGCCAGTTCTATTATAGTCTGTCTGTCTGTCTGTCGGTCTGTCTGCCTGTTTGTCGGTCGGTCTGTCTGTCGCTTTGTATGTCGGTCTGTCTGTCGGTCTGTCTGTCTGTTTGTCTGTCGGTCTGTCTGTCGGTCTGTCTGTGGGTCTGTTTGTCTGTTTGTCGGTCTGTTTGTCTGTTTGTCGGTCTGTCTGTCTGTTTGTCGGTCTGTCTGTCTGACGGTCTGTCTGACGGTCTGTCTGTCGGTCTGTCTGTCGGTCTGTCGGTCTGTCTGTCGGTCTGTCTGTCGGTCTGTCTGTCGGTCTGTCTGTCTGTTTGTCGGTCTGTCTGTCTGTTTGTCGGTCTGTCTGTCAGTCTGTCTGTCTGTCGGTCTGTCTGTCGGTCTGTCTGTCGGTCTGTCTGTCTGTCGGTCTGTCTGTCGGTCTGTCTGTCGGTCTGTCTGTCGGTCTGTCTGTCGGTCTGTCTGTCGGTCTGTCTGTCGGTCTGTCTGTCGGTCTGTCTGTCGGTCTGTCTGTCGGACTGTCTGTCGGACTGTCTGTCGGACTGTCTGTCGGTCTGTCTGTCTATCTGACTGTTGGTCTGTCTGTCCGCTAATCCTTCGCCCGTCGATAATTTGGAAAGTACCCTTCGGCATTTGGATGAAATGGAATGCCAAGAACGAAGAAGCTTTGTAGTTTTTGAAAATCGATCTAGTGGCGGCGGAGAAGAAGGCAAAAAATGGGAAACATAAAAATCGCTCAAACCTTGTTTTTTGACATTTCAGAGGATCCTGGGCTCTTTCGGGAAAATTTTTGTAGTGGTTAAGAATTGGGGATTGGGAGTAGCAGGGGCTGGTTGAGGGTATGTCTCAAATGCTTTACGTTGATATAGCTATTCGGCTCCAACTCCAGTAATTCCATGCACATAGACATATTTCACTCATCATAAATGTCCCCATATGTTTACTCTTAAAACATCTTCAACAGTCCAGTTTACTTATTATGTTTACTTCGTCATGTCTCTTCCGGTAGGGCTTTAAACTAATAATGCGGGCGGAATCTGTCTACTCAACAATAGTTTCCTAAATTTGACATTGAAAATACACTCCTTGTATTTACGGAGATATTGCAGAATAACTGCAGCAATGCCTTTGCCAATTGGTCGCAATTTTTTGAAGAAGATCTTAGTGGTACTGGACTATAGGGAAGTGTTTGCGATTGCAAATTCCTAGTGACATAATACATAATAACCCGCACCAGTCTTTTTATCTTTGGATTAGGCTACAAAGCGCAAATAATCCTCGCTATCGAATGACGAGTATCTCAAAGACGATAATACTGAGAATCCACTATGTGCGAACAAACAATCACATACTTGGTTAATAATATTTATATATTTTCATGGATATTATTTCAACTGATTGGGTAAGACCACATGCTTTTACCAATTGTTACGTGTTATGCCTTGTATCAGATCACGAAAAAAGCTGACTTGTGCTAAGCTGATAACCAGAATATCTGAACTATCTTCCTTCACATACTAAAAGGCAACTGGAATGATGTAATTCGAATTTAATAGTAGAAGTTGAAAATGTCGAAGACTGAAGTTTTGGTTTTCCATAACAGTTTCATTTATTTCAATTATAATAATGCCGGACACATCGACTAGAGCAGAGTTCCCCAAACTTTTTTGTGTCGTAGACCCCTTGCCATGTTTTTTAGTGTTGGGTAGATCCCGTACTTACCTGATATTGATTTCCTGTAAATTTCTAACTGTAGTGAAGTTTAGTGTTAAAAACGTAAAGTAAAAACACATGTTAATTTTTACATTTATTATTGAATTTAAATTAAAACTACTCAAAATAAAATTTTGTATCTGTTATGTAAAATATACGTAACATTAAATAAACAGGTGTCTGACCAATAAGTGCCCGCATTGGGAATAAGTGCCCGCATTGAAAAAAAAATAAGAGAGATAAAAAAAAAATGAAAAATAATAAAAAAAAAGTTTTTTACTTAAAATAGTACAATAAGCGAGTTCGTTTATTAATTATAACATAAACGTATGTTCTACAATAATTTCACTGTTAGTTTGATTAAATTCCGCTTCTTATACGTTTAAGTTATCTAAAAATAGGCAAAAAATTAACGAATTTTAGTGTGTACCTATCCTTGAATTTTCAGAATAATTTAAAAAAAATATTTTCTATAAAGGGGGGTTCTTTAAAAAAATCAATGCGGGCACTTATTCCCAATGCGGGCATTTATTGGTCAGACACCAATAAAGATAAAATAAACTATAAATAAAATAACATAAGCAATAAGTCAATATTTTTAGTGAGAAGGACGAACCTGATACTTTAATAATAAATTATCAACATTTGGCGTCAATTTTGTAAGGGTTAATCTTAAATCTCCTCGGCTAATGATGTCCAGTCTGTTTCTTTTTTTCGTTAGGAGATTGGTAATAGCGCTGAACCCCCTTTCCACTAGGTATGACGATGGAAAGGAGATTAAAAATTTCCTCGCTATATTCCATAATACGGGTAAGTAACGGGTATGTTGTTTTACAGCCAGAATTGCTGATATCCGTTTTTAAACTGAACCTTAAGTTCTTCGATTGTACTTAGTTCAGTCAGTTCCTCTTGTATTATGACACTCGTTTCTTCTATATCACCATATGGATTAATTATCCACGGTGGTATTACCATAGTCAAAATATCCTGAAACCTAGATTCAAAATCTGAATAGAGGGCATTTAAATGTTGAACGAAAGTTTGGGGAACTGAGAAAATTCGCCCCGTCCAATATTTTGCTTCATTAGTTTAACTCTGGCAAGAAACGCTGATAAGATGGACTTTGTTTTAATCAAATTTAAACAGTCGCCTTGTAATTGCAAATTTTTAACCATATTAAATTTTGTAAACAAATCTGTTAAATATGCGATGTCTGTTTTCCTCCTCATTAAATTTTCTTTTAAAATTTCATCTTTAGTATCCAGAAATTCTAAATTAGTCTCAAAAAGTGCAAAAAATCTTGTCAAACATAAGCCTTTCGACAGCCAGCGTACTTCAGTGTGAAGGAGTAATTGATGAAAGTGTTCGTCATTTTCTTCACACAACTGCGCAAATAACCGCGTATTCAACGCGTTGCTTCGGATTCGGTTTACTGCATCAATGACTAAACGAAGTGATTCATGCAATCTAACACTTAAATTTTTAGCAACTAAATGTTGTCGATGGTTGATGCAATGTATTGCTAACACCCCTGACACATTTTGTTTTAAATAGCTTATAAATCCACGATAACGTCCAACCATGGCAGGTGCTCCATCTGTAGCTACTGATATTATATTTGATAAAGGAATTGCTTTTTCAATGAAGTAATCCTTCAAAACATGAAATATTGATTCACCTTTAGTGTCGGTTATCAAAGTTCTTGCGAAGAGCAGTTCTTCGTTGATTTCTTGATTCATAATAAAACGAACATATGCCAATAATAATGCTGCATTATCAGGTAAAGTTGACTCGTCCAGTTGTATAGAGAAATGGGTCGTTTGCAAATAATTACGTAAGAAGCTTTCAATATCAGAACTCATTTCATCAATACGTCTTTCAACAGTATTGTTGCTTAAGCGAATTCTTTTAATGATATCAGATGCAGGTTTGTGTAAAACAGTTTTTAAAACCTCTTCAACGGCTGGCAAAATTAACTTCTCTCCGATAGTATGAGGTTTTCCGGATTTTGCTATAAGTAACGAGATATTGTAAGACGCCCGCAAACCATCATCATTTCTTTGTGACGTCGAAGCGAACATTCTGTCCAGTGTAGGTCTCTTCTGAAATTTATCTTTGAGTGTTTGAAAGTATTTCAAATCTTTCTCTGTTTTATCAGGGTGGCATCTTCTCAGATGATCTTGCAGTTTAGATGGTTTCATAGCGTCATTCCCCAAAACTTTGTTGCATAAAAGGCACATAGGCGATTGTTTGTCCGGCAATGATGGAATGAAGCCAAATTTCACATAATCAACACTGTACTGTCCTCATTTCTTTTTAGATTCGGACATGGCATCAGTCATCTGTGGGCAAAATTAAATTATTTAAATAAGACAGAAAATCCAGCAGCTGTATATTAAAAATATTTTTTGATTTTTCCGAAAACATTCCATAATTCGAACATCTTCTTGCAACAATTAGCTCGAATTACGGAGATTGCACTGTAATTATATTACCGATTGCTAAAACGTTCAAAAAGAAGCTATTGAGGAGTACTCGTGTAATTTTGCATGATTGAATATTTAACTACTAATAACTAAAGTTATGATTGGCGTAATTTATCTATCTTTGCTAACTACGAGTACAAAACTAAAATTTAATAAAAAATAATGTACTTACTTTTCTCCAGCACTCTCAAACAAAATAACACTGACTCACTATAATTTGTGTCATATACTATCTGTTTATATTTTTTAAAATATTTTCTTAGCACTTTCCTTTTCAAGATTCAGGAAGCGAATAAACGTATTTGTCCCACATTCGTATTTATAGAGTGACGAATTGAACAAGTCAGTGCAAGGTAGCGAAGCTCTGAGACTGCGACTCTTAGGATTTTACAAGTTCAAAATGTATTGCGACCACAAAGCGAATACCAACATCCTACAACTTACACAATTTTATAAAATATAATACATTTTTTGCTTCATAGGTACTTTTATAAATAATGTATATGTTTTGATATTATAAGATAGTATGATGTAAGTAAATAGGTACTATCAGTGTATGTGTTGAGATCCACTATCGTGGACCCCCATATTCATTTCATGGACCCCCAAATTTTTTTCGCTGACGTAGATCCCTAGGGGTCGATATAGACCACTTTGGGAATCAATGGACTAGAGGAAATTTGGGTTCGTTATGAGGTGTTTCGTTTTTACACTTATAATTCTGCTGACTCTGGATCCACATTCAAAACCTACGAACTACAAAGCTCTTCCGTCCCTGGCGCCATAGTATCCTTGTTACCAAAACCCGAACAGTACTTTCTAGGTTATAGAAAGGATAATGGACCAGCGAACAGACAGACTGCAGTCACAATCACAGAACGGTGGAGGGAATGATTTCCTTGTGATAATTATACGCCATAAAACATGCATGACATGAGAGGCAACAGAATTCTCCAATAAAGCCAGCTGAAGAGGTACCTATTTCAACCATCTTCACATGAAGGTGTCAAAATATCCCAGTTTCTACGACACTGATGTAGTCTCAGCAATTTTAAAGTATTGGTTTATTGATCATACTACGTGTACAAACATTTAAATCAAGCCTTTATCCACCTTGACGACAATATTTGTCCTATGTATACATACTATAGTTGTAGTCACCGTTCTTGGCGGTTACGTCATCAACGCCATATGAAATAAGCAAACAGATCGAGTCTTCGTACCATGGGCGGAACACTACGCAGACTAATCTTCAGTGCATCTGCTACTCTCCCCAGTACGTATGAAGTGGGTAACAGGGGACCGCTGTTTTCATTCTCTTCCTGGAAATACTCTAATAATCGTATTTCCGCACATTGTACAATTTTATATTGAAGATTGATAACAGGACAACTAAAAGTGCACGCTAATGTCAAGTAAGTTGTCACTGTGACAAATATGACTGGCACACGTAACGATAAAGTTTGCGAGGCGGAGTCATACAACACAATTCAACTTTAATGATTATAGTGCTTTTAAAATCGTAAATGGTCATAACTTCAATAAATTTCAATTGAACAATGTTTCGAGGGAAGAACATTTAGTTTTATTTTCAAGATTTCTTTTTCAAGATTTTTGAGTTTCGAATGAACATTGAAATTTCATTTTGCCCCAAGAAGAGGCAACTATCTGTTTGTGCAATTTTGCGGAAATTTACGTAGTTTTATATTTTAAACTTGTAGTAGTGGAGACAATACAAATTTTATTATTTATATATTTATTAAGCTTTCGAAATGATGTATTTTGAAAAATAGTACCGAAAACACTGTTTACTCGTAAAAAAACTTAAAAAATAGCTTAACCGTGCTTTTCTGAAGAAAATACGTTACATTGTATTTCACTTTTGCAACGGTAAAGCTCTTGCATTTTTCAATATTTTTGAGTTCCATGCAGTTGATTAAAAAATATAGGAGGAAAGTTGATAAAAAAATAATCATATATTTTATGACTTATCACAAAATAAACATGTATACTGTATAATGCTTATCAGGAAGGTCACCCTATTTATTTTATCACGCTCAAGCTTATCTAACAGGCGTATACCCTAGCATGTACGGCTGACCTAAGGGATCATCTTGGGTCCCATATTTATAGGTACTTTACGTGTTACTTAAGAATAACATTTTTAACGTGATTGTGACGGTATATTGAATCACCTTGTATCACCTCAGGTTGATGGTTGCAACCCAGCTGACTACAAAATCATCCCTGCAATAAGATAACCTAGTTCTACCGTATTAACATACGATCTTGGGAAAATTTTATTGTTTTGAGCTCTGCAATAAAACCGTAATCTAATCAATACTGACAATTTTTAAACGTTATAAACAAATTACCAATTTGTCAGAGATAGTGTATCTCGGCAGCGTATATCAACTTCTATTGATAATATCGTAAGTATAAGTTTGCACTAATCAATTGCAATTCATTACAAGTTTCCCGATGAGAATGTCTATGACAAAGTGGGAAATAACACCAATCAGCGAGGCCCTGGATGTCGGAACTCGCATTCACTGGGATGGAGAGACCCAAAGGGCGATCTTTGTAGACGTGCCCAATGGCAATGTGTACGCCTACGAGAACAATACCGGAGAAGTTGTAAAAGCCAAAGTCGGTAAGTCGTAAGTAGCTGTGTATTTTGGAAATAATCGATGATACATTTTGAAATGCCAGCAAACGGGTTACGGTTTTGGGTTTGTCTAGCAGGAGTGGAACGCGGCAGCATCATGGTGTCACGTGTCAAAATCACGTATCCTTTTTTTTTACTATTTATCACTTATCCGTAATTTGAATTTCTCTTCATTGATAATAGAGTGCCCATTCCTAGACCAAACCCCCTTTACAATGATTTTCTTTTTGCAAATTTAATAGTTTATTGATTGTGTAATTTCACTTGTATTATACCTTTCTTTCTCAGCGATTCAGTATGTGTTGACGATCAGCAAAAAACTCTGCAGTTTTTCTCCGTTAGTTGGCTTCCTATAAAACATATTATCTTCTTCAAGGCCACTCAAGATTCCTTCCTCTAGAACGTTACGTATTCTGCGTGATTCGCTTTTCAGTTTCCATTTTTTATGGGATTTTGACCCTCAGCGAAACAGAAGAAAATCATCATCTTTTCTCCTCCAGTCAGTTGCATCGTTGCAGTTTTGCAAACTGGAAGCCATTCCCTTGAAAAAACCCTGATGTGAACAGGGTTTTTTGTGTTACCACCATAATATTTTAGACCGAGGCAAGCAGTCCCTGCCCAGTGACGCGCCCACTACTGGCCACTTTTTTACCAGATTCGAGGACATCTCGGCCGCGCCTGACAAAGAAGACCTACAGGTTTAGTATTTAGGTGCAAAATATCTGTAAATACTTCGGGTGTATACCATGGTAGACGTTTCGCGAGGTTATCTCGAAAAATAATTTTGTCAGGTCGTATTTAAGATTTGTAACATACTTTCTTTTTTTACTCGCACTCCAGTGGTGGAGCACATGTGCGTTTTGTTTTCTTTCAATCAATATATTGCGATCCATTTGACATCTTGTTTATTTGGTTCTCTCTGTGTGTACTGTTACTTAAATTTCGTCATATCTGTTAGATTCTTCTTTTGTGTGGTGGTCGAGCAAAACAAGTTTGACTAACATCTCGGGGAGTTGTGGCTTAATCCGTCCTAAGTCACTGGCGCTCTTAACCCACCCCTACTCTCCGCTAAATTTGCAAGCCACTGGACAGTTGTTTCGCTTGGACCAACCGTTAGATAGTATTTATCATTGTGTTTTATTAGTTAACCAAAAAAAGGCGTGGCAATGGACTAGAGCTCAGAACAGCAAACATTCTTGCTATATTGACTGGTAGTCTAATCATATTAGACGAAAATACCCCTGGCTTGCGAAATAATTGTAAAGTCTGGTTTTATTGCTGCAAGTTTTTCAAGGGGGTATTCAAAACATGGACGCATAAAATGGATACACCAATTTTTGTGGGAAAACTTTTTATTCGACAACAAAGGATGAGAAAACGTGTTTTTTAGGATTTAATCTAAAGTGTTGGCACGAACGGAAAAATTCTTCGTATAAGATTTTTGGGTAACAAATGAGACCACACGTAAATAGATCCGACTAATAGCAAAAAAGTTATGGTCGAAAACCGAGGCAAACTGCAGGTTTTGACACTTGTTGGTAATGCGACGATGGTTTCTCGCAGATATTTGAAATTCTTCAAATTCGTAGGATTCGTACTTATAAATAACCACAACAAAATTTTAGTAGACTGGTCAAGTAGTCTTTGAGAATTTCTAATTGTTTAACCCAAAACACCTACTTTCCGGCTATCACTACTAGTTTATTGAGCAAAATACAGGGTTAGTTTAAAGGGCATTTTATAGCAAAATCTAGTTTACCTTGCCGATATGAATCGCAAGCCATTTCGGAAGATACATGTTATTTTTATGCAAAAAGGATGGGCTACGTTTTTTCTTCTAAAACAGATTCAAACATTTCGCATTTGTGAGTAATTCGCTACAAAAGATGACAGACACATCCGCTTTGTTTTAAAATGTCTATAGCAATGTATGTTTTTCGAATATCGTACCGCATTGTCCAATTACTCACAAATACGAAATGTTTGAATTTGTTCAGAAGAAAAAATGTAACCTTTGTTTTTCGCATAAAAATAACGTTTATCTTTCGGAATGGCTTGTGACTCATATCGGCAAGGTAAACACGTGTATTTTGCTATTAAATGCTCTTTGAACGAACGCTGTATATTGCTCAATAAACTAGTAGTGATGGACGGAAAAATGGTGTTTTGGGATAAACAATTAGAAATTCTCAAAAAACTACTTGACCAATACACTCCAATTTCGGTGTTGCTATTTAGAAGTATGAGTCCTACGGATTTGAAGAATTTCAAGTAGTTGCATGAAATTATCGCCGTATTACCGAAAAGTGCCATAACCTGCATTTTGCCTAGATTTTCGGCCATAACATTTTTGGTATTAGTCGGATCTTTTCACATGTGGTCTCGTTTTGTAGGTCTCATAAATACCTAAAAATCTTATATGAAAATATTTTTCGTTCCTCTCATCTCTTTTGATTGAATCTTATTCTTTGTTGTCAAATAAAAAGTTTTTTCACAAAAGCTGGTGTACCCATTTTATGCGTCCATGTTTTAAATACCCACCAATAAAACCAGACTTGTCACTTTAGGCCAGGTCTCATCTGCGCTCTGTGTGGTGTGAGGTAGTTAGATGGTGAATAGTATTTGCTTGAACACGTGGAACTAGTTTGATTAAATCAAATGAAATAAATGTATTTAGTGATATATTTATTAAAGCATTTGCTTCGATTGAGTGCACCAATTTATATAAAATTAATGATCTATTAAAATGGGTTTACTTGCTCCAAGGAAAGCCATACAATTATAATTATTAATTCTGTTTATTTAGTGTAGGTAAAACTATAAACATACCCTTACCGAATTATTTCATTTAGATTTAAGAATATATGTTTGGATATAGATTTAAAAAACTAATTGTATTTTACTGAATGGTGTATATTTCAACTGTGATGTGACAAATTTAAGATATTAAAAAAATGTAAATAATAATTTAAATTTTCGATTTAAGATAAGAAGTTGTAACCCTAACAAAATTAGATATTTTTCAATTTTATTGGTTCTTAACTTATCATATATGTGCTCAAGTTTTAATAATTATTTGTGGGATCATCCATTTAATAAAAGCAATTCTATGTTTTAAATTCGGAAAGTAGGGAAAGGGTAACTTAAGCCTGATAAAGGTACTGGATCATGTGTTCAAAAATTGTACTTCTATAGCTAATAACAAAAAAATATTGCACTAACATGAATTTAACGCATTTACATAAATAAATAAAGTGTACTTTTGCTATCACTTCAAACAAACTAGTTCATTTTCAAATACTACAAGGTGTGTATCAACAGGAGGCTAAATTTCCTTTATACAGGCTGTCCCAGAATCCGACGTCAAGACGGAAATGGGGATAGGCCATGTCAGTTACCAGAAAAATGTAAAAAAATCTAAGTCATGTACTTTTCAAATTATAGGCTTTAAAAAATCGAAAATAATCGATAATCTTTAAGTTCCCACCAGTCCATAGAATTTTCCCTAAAATTACGGATCTTAGCGGTGTCTGCATAACATTGTTTGACAAAACTTAACTTAGAGGATATTTTCGGAGTTGTAGAGATTGTACTCGCTATACGAGGTACGGGTGGAGCTCGTTCTTTCGCAAGATTTGGTGAGCTGTACTTTTGGGCCCCCCCGTGCTTGCTTCTATTTGACGTGCTGAAGTACTCGGGTCTTCTTCGACTGCATATAGTTCGTGGTGCTCGTAAGAAAAGGAAGCTCTTCCTTGACTATGTGCTTTATTTGGGAATCGTCCAACTGAGAGTAAACGGTGCATATTCACAGAAACTCGGTGATCAGGGTCACGAGCAGCATTTGAGTAGCTCTCACATTCTCACAATTCAGCCCAGCAGCAGCACCAGTATCACATCTACATTCCTCGTAAATGAGGTGCATGTTGGCGAATTCCTGTACGGTGTACACAGACATGGTGTAAAAGTTACGTTACTAAATTGTATGACACCGTCCGTCACTCCGTCTATACTACAACTATTTAAAACTGTAATGACTCATACGCGTGATCAAGACGTGATCAGAGCTCGATCCAGGCTTCCTTCCAGTACAGCCGTATAGCGTACGACATATGTCGTTTCTGTGGCTTTGCGGTGGTCAACAGCACAGACAGAGATGAAAATAATGGATGATTGTTCTCCGCCGGTGGAACCAATGAAATCAAAGACGCGCCTCGACCGGCAGACTCATAGGCATCGGCAACGCATTGGAACGTGTTTCGTTGAGCGATCGCATATTATGTGTTTTTATAAGAATTGTTGTGTGATTGTTATTGTTGTGGTTTCTGTGGTTACTGTTTTGGTTATACTTAACCATGGAGAGTAAAAATGGCACGAGTGGAAGTACTGAAAGCCAGGGAACAAGTAGACGGCTTCGTAAAGCACTGAAGAGGTACGCGAAAGAAATCGTGCTCAACGTGTTCAATTATCTGAACAGAACTATGTCGCAGGGAGATGCACTCGCGCGTTGTGGAAGTATGACAGGCGTTCCAGAGTGGACCATTCGCAGGGTGGTGCATGAAAAGAAGAAAACTGGAGCTACTACCGATCCAAAGTTTAATTTGAAGGGACGAAAGGCCGTTAAATTGGATGACGATAGCAAAATGGCGTTAAGGCGAACCGTACATTCATTCTTCTTTAGGAATGAGATACCAACCCTCAAGGCTGTACATGCAGCGATCAAGGCAAATGAAATTATACCCCAAATGAGCGTCGAGGTAATGAGGAAATCCCTGCACGAAATTAATTTTCGTTACGAAACGCGTAATCGGAAGTCAGTATTGATAGAGAGACCTGAAATAGTCGCCTGGCGTTGAAAATACCTACGCGAAATGATTGAATATAGGCGACAAAGCAGAAAAATCTATTATTTGGACGAGACATGGGTAAATGCAGGTCACACAGTTAAAAAAACCTGGATAGACAAAAACGTAGTGAGTAACCAACAA